GTCTATATAAAAGATTCCCAAACTGCATAACTTTTAGCCCTAAGGGGAAAAGAAGGTCCTTGAATCGTGAATAGGAGATGTGAAGGGGAAGTAAAGGCAAGAGTAATTAGCATTATAAGTTCTAGACAGGGAACTAGAAAAAAGTCAGAACAGGGCAAATTTCAAATGTTCATATGAGAGTCCATTGGAATTTCTTGACAAGGTCTTCCAAAAGCATCCCTCTATTGGGTTCCTCCTCATTTTTCTTTTGTCTGCCAAGGCTGGACTCTAGAGTGATGGATTCAGGATTTGCTTTCAGGTATTTTGATAGCTGTTGGAGTAGTTAGAATCAGTGTCAGTTCCCTCTCAAAGGCTCCTAGATAGGGGGAGAAAACAAACATCCATTATTTTAGAACAATAGCTGGTTGTCTCCCTTGGCTACAGGTGGGCACTACAGTGTTGCAGACCAAGAAGGAATTACTTGACAATTCTTATTCAGTATCATTACTCTGAAGGGGCTCCTGAGTTCCTGACACTGGCAAGACTCACTTGATCCAAGAGTAAAAACGAGACAGCTGTGGCTACCTTCAGGAATAGATCTTTCTATATAGCTCAGACTCTCCAGAGTGGAATCACAGTTCAGTTGGAGAAAGGCTAAGACACATGAGCTTCTAGAAACTAGAATCATGACAGAGAGGATGCAGTCTAGATGCCAGCAGAGGGTACTGAAGGGCTTGAGTCAGAGCCTGGATCTAGAGCTCCGATTTCAGCTTCTCTGGAGACACAGAAGACATGCAACTCCCTGCCCAGGCCTTTCACAAAGTATAGGATGATGCAATTTCAGACATTGTACCCAGGTTGTTGAGAGCATGGGAAACTAGGAATTGCCTCATAATTATTCTGATTTTGGTGATAACTGGCCCCAAGGCTGAAGAACTCACTACATGTGCATAACAGCACCCAGGTAGGGCAAAAAGAGCACTCTGGAGAGATGGCTCAGTGGTTAAGAGTACTGGCTGCTCTTGCAGAGGACCTGGGTTCGATTCCCAGCACCCACATGGTGACTAACAACTCTGTAACTCCAGTTCTAGGGGGCTCTAACACCCTCTTCTGAGATCCATCGGCATTACATGAAACAGGTACATTTACATACATGCAGGCAATATACTCATACAATAAAAAAGTTAATAAATAAAATATTTATTTTTATATTATGCATGTGAGTGTTTTGCCTGCATGCATGTAACTACACCCATGCATGCAATACCTGTGGAGGCCAGAAGAGGGCAATGGAACCTTGGAACTTGAGTTACAAATTGCTGTTAATGCAGCAGCACATACAATACCCAGGCACCACAGCAGAGACATTGTCACTGAATTTGAATCCTCACCTGAAGCATCTTCATCTTCTCCAGGGCCTTCCCAAACCAGGGCCTGTGGGAGGGGCCCATGACAAGCAAACACCAATGATGCTTCTGGCGGTATCTAGACCAATAAAATTGAGCTCAGTACATGGTGGCGCAGTCCTTTGGTCCCAGCACTCAGGAGTCAGAGGCAGGCAGATCTCTGTGAGTTCAAGCCCAGCCTGGTTTACATAGTGAGTTCAGGTCAGCTGAGATTACAGGGAGACCCTGCCTCAAAAAGACAAAAAAAAAAAAAAAATTGAGTTGAGTAGACAAAGAAAAACAGATGCATGGAAACCTGGAAGGAACTGCCTTCCTGACAAAGGGACTAAATATATTAGCAACTTAACCTAAGTTACTCCATCTTGCTCAGGATAGCTATTTTAACAGTAACCTCTTTTCCACTTATGGGAAATATTTAAAAGGAGAAAGCAGCCTTGAGTTCTAAGAAGTAGCTCAGCCACAAACCAGTGGGATGTGCTAATATCAGACACTCCACATCTGGATAACTGCTTGTTTTTGCCTCTGTAACTCGCCTGCTACTTCAGGTCACCTTGACATGTAGCATGAGACCACCCTGTTATTCAGTGACCATCCGGTAACTGCTGATTTTGACTTCTCTTACTATACTTGTTATGACTAGGGAGGTGACTAATTTTAAAATTACAAAGTTGATTGCCAAGTTATATGACTCTATCACTTGTCTGTATAATGATTGGTTGTTGATTAATGGATTCAAAATTCTGCTGTTGTAGAAACCTGATTGGTTCACAAGTATCCTGTTTGAATAATATTTCTGTAATCCTATAAAAACTCTGACCCAACGATTGCTGCTGCATGTACTCCCGAGATAGACAGCCTGGCCAGTCGAAATAATAAACATTTACCTTGCTACTTTTCTTAAAGTGGTGCTGGTGATTTTGTATGAATTCCGATCTATAACAGGGACAAGTTTCTCTCTTCATGGATATTCCCTAAAACCTACAAAAACTCAACCTCAGAGCCTCTCCCCTGGAACAGACAGCCCTTCCCTTTCCAGTTCCATCCCTGGTTATCAGTCCCTGGAACTCTCAGAAGCCATGGAGAAAGTAATAGTCTGTATCTTGGCTTGGAGAGCAGCTGCCGCACAAATGTGTTTAATGTACTGAGCTATATTCTCAATGTGTGTTTATTGGAGTTCAACAGAACTGTCTTAAATGCATAACCGAGCTTTAAAAATGTCAAGGTCTGGGAACTGGAGAGATGGCTCAGTGGTTAAGAACAATGACTGTTCTTGCAGAAGACCCAGGTTCGAATCCCAGCACCTACATGGCAGCTAACAACTGTCTGTAACTCCAGTTCCAGGGGATCTGTGCCTTTTTCTGTCCTCCGCAGGCATTGCATGACACTGGTGCATTTACCTACATGCGGGTAGTACACGCATAAATATAAAATAAAATAAAAAATAAGAAGTAAAATATTTTAAATAAATAAATAAATAAACTAAAAATGTCAAGGTCAATTATTATGTATAAGAGCCATGGGTAGCAGTTAGCTCTGACAGATGCTTTGATAGGTGATAAAGTTATTTTAAACAATGTGGTAACTGGACTATGAACATACCGAAAAAGTAGTACAACACGTTAGGAAATTCAGAGCTGGGCCCAACAATCTATTTCTTCAAATCTATGAGGAAAGCTCAACTATTCCATCAATAATATTGTCTTAACTAGGCAACCACAGTGAGTTTAGGAACTCATCTTAGTTAAAAGAAGAACGCTCTCCTATACTAAGATGAGCTCATAGAGGGTTTAAACACTAAAAATATTATTCCTGAAGACAAACATTAGAGTATTTATCCATAGTTTCAAATTGAGGATCTGTGTTATAATTATGATGCAATGGGACTAAGGAGGTGGCTCAGCTATTTGGAGCACTGGCTGCTCTTGCAGAGGGCCTGAGTCCAGTTCCCACACCCACATGGTGCCTAACAGCCATCCTAATTCCAGTTCCAGAGGATCTGACATTCTCTTCTGACCTCCACAGGCATTGCACAATATGAGTACACTTACATATATATAGGCAATACACTCATATACATAAAATAAAAATAATAAATAAAATGTTTTAAATAATTATGATGCAACCATTAAAAAACTATATATTTTTAAATGTGTTGGACAGAAATTCACTTTTCTGTATGTAACTGAAAACAAGCAGAATAAAAAGTCCTAACATAATGAAAGAAATTTTGTATATCAATATAGTATGAGCACCATAAATCAATAGTAATATTAAAAATTATGTAAAATGCATAACCAGATATTTGAAAAAAATGTGGCTCTCTAAATATAATAAAATATAACAGAGATTACTTACTAACAAACTCAAATTAAATCACTTAAAGATACAGTTTTAACCTACCAAATTAGTGAAGAACAATGAATTTAATAATACATTCTGTTAACTCTGGAAGGATATTTTGGGAAAATATAGTTTATTTGTGGACAGATTAAATACATAATTATTAAGTAGACATCTGAGAAGAATAAATTTAAAAACTGGATATAAAAGTCTGGTCTTGTGGAGAGATATCTGAGCCAGTAATGAAGATGGTAGCCAGGCATGGTGGTTGCTCTAGTCTGCCTTCAATTGCTGTGACAAAACATTCTGACCAATACCAACTTGAGGAGGAAAGGGTTTATTTGGCCTACATCTCCTGGGTCACAGTTCATCACTGAGGAAGCCCAAGGTAAGAAGTCAGGACAGGAACCTGGAGGCAGGAGCTGAATGAAGTACAGGCCATAGAGGAACACTGCTTACTGGCTTGCCCTCCTGACCCATGCTCAACCTGCTTTCTTGTACAATACAAGACAACCTGCCCAGGGGTTGTGGGCCCACAACCCACAGTGGGCTATGCCCTCCCACATCACTCAAAACTCAAGAAAATACTCCACAGAAATGGCCACAGGCCAATCCAATGGAGGCAATTACTCAATTGGGGTTCCCTCAACTCAGGTGTGTCAAGTTGACACTAAAGCTATCCAGCATGATGGTGAAAGATCCCAGCACTCAGGAAGCAGAGTGATCCGCAATCTCTGTGAGACCGAGGTCAGCCTGGTCTACATAAAAAGTTCCAGGCCAGCTCTGGCTACAGAGAGATCCTGTCTCAAAAAGACCATAAAAAAGAGAGAAAATGGTGGGAATTCCAAGTTCTGTAAGAAAGTCTTTATGGTCATTGGTCTAAATAAGCCCATCAGGAGAATAATACAGATGATGGAGAGAGCCTAGGATAGTGGCATGGCGTAGGCTGGAGTCCGGAATTGGAAGAGAATGAGGACTGGGCCACAGGATCTGGAGCCTCTCTCCATGCTGTGGTCTGGTGTCTTACAAACCTGAAGAGCAGCCTACTGCCTAGAAGTTCCTGTCACTGTCTTCAAAGAGACTGGGGTAGAGGAAGGAAGGGACAGAGCAAAGCTGACCAAATTATCTTCTACCACCATATTAGGTGACAAAACTGAGCTAGTTTCAGAGTCTTTCATGTTCAAAGGGCTGAACTATACACTGGGAATATCGGAGGGAAACAAGGCTCCAGTTTTTTCCCACATAAAATCCACCGGTGGCTCCCATTGTCCACAGAATACAACCCAAGCTCTTTCTCAGCAGTTCGAGTCTTCGTCAATGCAGCCGCGTCCTCTGTCACTCAGTCCACCTCTCCTCACTCTCCGTGCTCATCTTGCTACCTGGGGAGCTTTGCCCCCAAGTGGTCCTTCTCCATCTCCTATTCCAAGAGTTTTTACATTTTCCAGGTCTGAAATGCCTTTTCACACGCAAGCTCATCCCCCACTTTCTGTCTTCTATTACGAAGACTCCGCTTAAGCATCGCTCTTTCCAAGAAGCATTTCTGACCTCAAACCTGGTGAGCTGTATGAATCCTGCTAATCATATACACCGCCCTTTAAAAAAAATTGTGTTGTACACTAAACAGTACACATTTGTGCTTTAGACTTGTGTTTTAGGTGGTGGAATGCTTGTGAACCAGTTTTTTTTTTCTCAAAAGAAACCAAGAACAGCCAGATACTTCAACCAGCAGGGGACAGGCAAGTCAGTCAGCTAGTCAGAGTCTTGAAGAGAGAATTATGATGTCACAGAAGAGGCGTAGAGATCAGAAGCTTTATACTTGAGGGGAAGGGGGCCACTTGATTCAGAAGACTCTGGCTTCTGATAGTCATGGACTCATTAGACCTCTGAGGAAGATCATCATCTGTCTATCTGCTGAAACCAGCAAGGAAAGAACAGTTAACAGAAGAAGTCAAGTACGGAAATGGTGAATTGAGAGGAGCCCGAGGAAGAAGTGTGTGGCCAGATCAGGTAACACATGGGAGTCCCATCTTGTGACCTTCTCTCTACGGCCTGTTACTTCACTCTACTGAGGCCCACATAATGTCATGCAATGTGTCAGATGTTAGAACAGTAACAAGCAAGATAATGAGGAAACTGACAGATTACAGGAAAAGTCAGTCATGGAACTGTTAACTGTCATGTAACCATGAAGTGCCAACATTTTAACCTTTAGTACAGGGAGCTGTAAGGAAATCCTTCTGGAGAAGGAACCCATGGGTAGTTCTGAAAGTTTATTCAAGTGAATGATATTTCTTGGAACATGCGGTTTGAATATTTAGAAATGGGGATGGAGACTGGAGAGAGATACTTAAGGCTGAAGAGCCTTTCAGAGATCTAAAAAGAGGTGAGCCCAGTCAGGAGCCATCTTCTCTGAGCCAGTCTACAAGCATGACAGAACAGTGGCTGGAGGTGAGGAAGACTGGTGGACAGAGGTCAAAGGGAAGGCAACCCCACTGGGACCCAATGAACTTAGATTCAGCTCAGTAGCAATCATCACTGAAACAGAGCAGTAGAAAAACCTAAAGTGTCTCTGGACCCACACCTAGGTATTGGACATTGGGGAGACTTCCTGGGTAGCTGCATTAGGGAGAGGGAGCACAGAGCTAGGGGAGATTTCCCCTAAGGGGAAAGCAGAGAGGGTCAAGGGGGCAGATTGGTTAGGCAGCAGTTGAAGTTTTAAAGATGGGAGGATTCAAAGCTTAACTATCCCGGATAAAAGGAGAATCACCTATCAGAAGGGGATGAGGTAACTGTGGGTTAATTGAAGGGTCACAGACTCCCTTCACCAGTTGCCAAGGAGACAAAGGCAGCAGAGCTGGCTTGGGATGGGAGCTCTGTCCAGACTGGTAAGATGCTGAGGGACCTGTTGTTGTCCTCCTCCCTAGTCCCTGGTGGATGAGACTGACCTATTCCCCATCTCTAACACTAGACACTTGTTCCTCCATATCCTACATAGGGGCAATGCTTGGTGGGAGAAGGGAGGTTCTGAGACTCAGAGCTCAGGGGCTCAAAGCACCAGGATAAGAACGCTACCATAGTCTGTCTAGACCTGGAGGGATAGATCCTAACAAGCTAGACTTCCGAGTGTCAGAGGCTCTGAACTGTCCTTTTGGGATACTCGCCTTCAGGTTAGAGAAGAGAAAGAAATAGAAGAAAAGACAAAGGAGAGAGACAGAGATGAGAAACAGCAGAGACCACACACAGAGAAAAGCCGGAGACAATAGAAGCCTTCCGCCTCTCTCTAAACTTGGTCTTAGGTCAGGGAGTGGATGCAGGAAACGAGAAGAAACACACACAGGGATTCCCCACAGGTACACACACCCCAAATCCACTGATTAAGGCTGCATGGGCTCCAGAGTATTTGCTCTGTGTGTACGTTTGCAGAAACATACACGTGCACACGCACACGCACACGCACTTCGAGTGAAGATGGTAGAGAGCAAGGCATTCTGGCCCTTTTTTTCCTCTGCTGATATGTCTCTGTTCCATTTTCTGTTTGTCTCCTCATCGCTGACTCCATCCATTCCAGTTCCCTCCCAGGCAAGCCAGGACATTACTGGGCAGACCTGCTGGCTCAGCTTCTTTGTGACAGCTCTTGTCCAGGAGGGAAGGACTGAACAGCTTATCCTACGCCCACCCCTTAGGAATGCTGGTCCGCACTCTTGCTCTAAAAGCAGAGGCAAGCAGAAGCTTCTTCCTGAAGGACAGAGTAAAGCCTGAAATAACTGGCAGGCACAGAGTCACAAGGAAATTAAAGCCAACACCCTCCTCCAGGAAGTCACTTTCACCTTTCAGGTGAAAATTGCCTCTGACCCCTTTCACAGCTGCACTTAGCCAGAAACTTGTGAAGGATTTAGGTACAGTGGTAGGAAGCTTGAGGAGTTAAGACTTCCTCCCATTTTTCTGCTGCTGCTGCTGCTGCTAGAGTCCAGGAGATTCAGAGCACCACGGGCCCTATGGGAGCCACCACCATTGTCTGTGCCCAGGAATGCAGTAGATCCTTGCTTGACATGTTCCAGGGCCTTCTTCCCACAGCGAAAGCCCAGAGTGAGGATCAGAAAGTTGAGAGTGGGGAGGAGGTGGGACAGGGCCACATCAGTTTGTCAATGGGCATCACTATCTCCACTGGCTGGAGGCATCAGTCCATAGTTTGGCCTGATGGGACATAGTTTGCCCTTCATGAATAGGGTTTAGGTCTAATCCCCAGATGCAAAACAGGTGCATCTACGAGGGTGGCAGCCATCCTCCAGGACAGTCAATGTCCTGGGTCTGCCATAAGTCACAAGAGTGGTTCTTAGAGCAAAGCAGGTCATCTTCCAGGTGTCTTAGTAACCCCCTAATTCAATAGCCCTGCACACTTTCAGGGCTTTCTGTACAGCTAGAGTAGCTCTTGGGAATTCTCTAGTGGGTTTTTAGTTTCTGTCCCCCAAATTCCTCCTATCTGTGCAACAGAACGAGGTTGCTAGAGTATTTGCAAAGGGCAGGGATAGGGTGAGGGTAGAGGGAGACTGAGGCTCAACAGAGCAGCTCCACACCCAGCTTCAAACCTCAGGAGAAAGTATGATTATCTCAGTTTGATCTAGCTAAACAGGCACTGTCACAAACCCCAAGTAACTTCCTTCCTTGTACCTGTGTCTACATATAATATTAGAGCATACACACATACACACACGTACAGACACAAGCATACACAGATGTACAAGCACATAGCAGTAGTTGGCTAAGTTTCAAAAGCTAGTTTGGATCAGAGGTTGTCCTTAAAAAGCCTGTGGCTGCTACAAGCTAGAGGGTAGCTAAAACTTGACTTCAGCAGTCACCGCTCTGACTCCAACACCCATCCCCCACACCTGTGTGATAGAGATCCGACAGGCCTGGCACTTTTCTAGCATGAGTGTGTGGTCTTGCTGAACCTTGCGTGGGTGCACAAGGCCATCCCCTGTCTCCTGCAATGACATCTCTACAGCTAGATGACAGCCCTGGTCTCTGCCTATGATTCCTGCTCACCGTTTGCCCTTCTGTCCTACTCCAGAAACTTGACAGTGGTTTTTATCAATATGTCACAGGAGATACAGAAAACACACAGCTCCGTGTGAGAAGTAGACTTAAGTGTCTTTGTAGGAAATCCTGGGTTTGCTAGGCAGAATGCAGATCAGTTGATAGAAACAAAGAATGGGTTTGGGTTTTTGCTATTCGCCAAAGAATCCAAAAATTGCAAACATGTTCAATGAGTGGGAGGCATCTACAAGATCCCTTTTCCTCATCCCTAACACCGCTCCCTCAGAGAGGAAGAAACAAAAGCCCAGACAGGTGAAGCCGTAGAATTAGGCGTTTTCACCACCTTTTTCTGTTTCTTCTGTAACCACGCAGCCACAGACGACAGCACATGTTCTGAGGTATTTGGAATGAGCTGCTGCCTTCAGAAAGGGTATGATGGTGGGTGGCTCTGGGAACCCTAACACACCAAGGTTCCTGGTGTGCACTGAGACCAGAACAATTGCATGACCTTGGGTGAGATGGAATCTATCAGTCCATTGACAAGCAGTTGAAGTACATGTCCGGACTTCAGTAGTCTCTGTATTTAAAGTGGGATAAAAATGCCCACCTCTTACACTGGCAGCGATCATTAGATGAGATAATGCTTATGTGACTGGTATCTGACTCAGAATTAGAATAAGAGTCACATTATTGCTCCCTAGACAAAAGATGTTATGCAAATGTATTACATATTCTTATCCTTCTATTCTTTATATGGAAAATGGTTACCTAGTAAGGAAGAAACACAGGGGTACATGAAGGCCAAGTTAGGGACTAGCTACGGTCTCTGAAGAGCCAGCCCTGTTTTCCCAGGGCATTACCCATCTCAATTTAGAGATCAAGGAAGGAGATAATTGAAACGAGCCTCCAGATTGCCTTGTCATAGAATATTCTTTTTTTCCTAGAACTTGCAACTATAAAGAAGATGAGTGACCAACAAAAAAACAACCCATGCTGCCCACCAAGCCCTCCATGCTGCCCACCAAAACCATGCTGTCCACAGACACCTCCTTCCTGCCCCAAGTCCCCATGCTGCCCCAAAGCCCCGTGCTGCCCCAAATCTCCATGCTCCCCGCAAAAGTGCACATGCTGCCTACAGAAATCCCCATGCTGCCCGAAGAAATGTTCGTGCTGCCCCCCAAATCCTCCGTGCTACATTCAAACCAACTGTTGCCCTGTGAAGAACAAGCCTGAGTCAGACTCTAATTCCTCAGGCCAAACTCAGGAGAAGAGCTCTCAAACCCAGCAGCCGCAGAGCACACAAAGCGGAGCCTGGTCAGCCTCTTGGGGCCAGAAGAAAAGCCAATAGACTGTTCCTGGCACCATGCCCATCCCTCAAAGGGTGTAGGATTGCTATGGGTCAGGGTAGAACTGGTTAAAGATGACCAACAAATCCACCCTGACCAACAAATCCACCCTACCGTAGGCTACTATGTCCACCCAACCAGAAATAGCAGGTAGAAAAGCCTAGAAAGATCTTTCCTAGTGATCCTGACATTTAGATAGCACAGAAATAAAAGAGCAACCAAAAGCAATTCCTCTTCTTTATTTACCTGTAAGCCAGTCTAGCACAGAGTTTTGAAGCATGTTAGGCGTATCCTAAGGGCCACAGAAAATTTCATCCTGATGCACATCACCTCTGCTTACCCAGAGAAAAGATAACTGATTCTTCTTGGGGTTTATTGTTTATTGGTTAGCTTTTTTGTTTTGTGAAATCAGGGATTTTTGACCAGGGCCTTGCACAAGCTAGGCAAACATTCTACCACTGAAGTATTTCTTCATATCTTGCTTTTAAAATGTTTACATATTTTTTTAAATTTTATTTTATGTGTATGAATATACCTGAGTGTGCAATATCTGTGGAGGCCAGAAAAGGGCCTCTGATCCCTTGACACTGAAGTTATGGATAGTTGTTAACTGCCATGGTGTTGGGAACAGAACCTAGGTCCTCTGCAAGAGCAGCCAGTGCTCTTAACCACTGAGCCACCTCTCCAGCCCTTGTTTCACTTTTAAAGTGAAAGTCCTATATCCCAAGAACTTTTTAGCTAAAAGGGAAGGGTGTATCACCCCCAAATCCCAATGCCTTCAAGTCCTTGGGTAGAACATTTAATTCCAGGCCAAACAAGCGCAAATAAGTCCACCAAACTGACTGTGCTGTCTTGGCTCAGTCTTTTAGCAGAGTTCGAGGTAGAGAAGTGCACACAGCATAGGCTGGTGGCAGGCAGTGAAGCCTCTGGCATCATGCTGCTCTGGGCTCAGAGTAGTCATCCTAGAACAAGTTGTTCAACCTCTAAGCTCTATTTCTTCATACATAAAAGGGTTTTATGAGCATAAAAGAGATAATTCATTGAAAGCGTGTAACCCTAGGGTCTGACACAAAGTAGATACACAACGCCTGGCTCTTCTCAAACTTCTTCTTGACACCAGGTCCCTATTTCCCTCCAAAAGGCCACTGTGTTGTAAAAATTGCTTTTCAAACCCTTATTAATCTAGGTGAGCAGCAAAGATTTTAAAAAGCCTTTCTCAACATGCTTGTAAGCTTAAATTTTCACAACTCTTTGGATGTAAAAATGTTTCCTAAGGTCTTTCCTTAACACTCACACCCTGAGGTGTTTCCCTCTGCCCATCAACCCAAGAAAACAGCAGACCTACTATTTTTCAGAAACATATGATCTGTATTCTTTAATGTTGGGAAGTTATTCCTTCAAACCCTATCTCAACTCCTTCAACACATGTATGAAGCAGCTCAACTCGCAGTGTTGATGTTTGCAGCATCTGGGGTCCATAGAGGTGATTTTCATTCTTCAGAATTTCATAATAGAAGTGCAAGAGTCCTCTGCAAGAGTAGCCAGTGCTTTTAACCACTGAGCCATCTCTCCAGCCCTGAAAATTTCTTAATTTTGAAAAAGTTTGAATGGAACTTCCCTGCATGGTTGGATAATGCTGCTTCTAGAATGCATAGGCTATTAAGTGAAAATGACAGGCAAGGTATGAGATGCCTTCTCACAAATTATTGATCAGATAGACCCCATAGGTCTCCAAAAATAGAACAGGCTGTTGCCATTGTTCTTGGTTCCTCACCATAGCTACATGGTAAGACCTTATTGTTTAAGACATTACACACTTTTGCTGAAGAATATAGAGAAGTAAATCCCAAAACAACTGGGAAACTTCCTTCCTCCTGGCTAGATTTCATAAAGCCAGAATACACTATTAAGGCTGCTAGAGGAAAAAAGACACCAACGGGTATCCAGCATTGGACACTGCATGATGTAATACTGACCTGCCAGTCAAGATGTGCCCACTGGTGCAATAGTGACATGACTGTTATGGGATAACTAACCACTCTCTTATTGGATTTGAGGCTTGTACCACGGGACAGAATTTCATACCTGGTACTATAATACAAAGCCCATGAATTAGAAGGTCATAGGCACTAGGGTAGAGCCTACTATTGTCATTTTGCTAAATGACCGTGGTACCAAATTTCCTTATACATATTTGAATTTATACCCATAAAGCTGTGCTGCCCATAACCTTGGTGAGAGAAGCTTCTTTTTGCAGTGAGCAGCAGTCAGTGCATAGATGTCTATCATTGGTCAAAGTATTGTGAATAAGAGACATTGTGCTCATCCCTAAAAGAGACATATTTATCAATCTCTCCCATCCCTGTGAAGACTCAGGATGCATCTCAGAAGAAGAAGCAGAAATAATACAAGAGCAGGAGGCAGGAATGCTGTGAAATGCTGTCTTCTGCACTTGAGATGGCTATCACATTCATGCATAGCAGCTGTAATTGCATGCACAAGACTTACACCAGATCAAGCCAACCAAAATTCCAGCACAGATGGGGGAAGTGCTCTTCAAGCCCTGCCTCTTAATGAGCTATTACAGTTGATAGCTGCTGAAAGAGGGAGAAAATTTTCTTTTTGAGGGTATGGTCACTTCTAGGTTTCTCATGCTCTAGTGGATGACCCCACACCTATGCACATAATGGTGACACTGACTGGACTTAGTGGGTTATCCAAAAAATCAAGTTGGGAGGGGGACATATTGGTGGGACATAGAGAAGTTGAGGGAAGGAAATGGGGGGATATGATTATATTTCATTGACTACATGTATGAAATTGTCAAGAATAAGGAAAAATTATAATTAAAAATAATTTTTATAATCTTTCCATTCTTTCTCCATGACGGTCCCTGAGCCTTGGGATAGGATATGGTATAGGTGTCCCATTTGTGGGTTAGCACCCCACAGGCACTTGTTCTCCATACTTGATCAGTTGTGAGTTTCTGCATTAACCACCATCCACCGCGCAAAGAAACTTCTCTGATGAGGTCTAAGAGATGCATTAATCTATGGGCAGAGTGATACGAAGTAAGAGGGCAATGTGATCCTGTGTCCACTTAGCAAAATAAGAGTATACGATTCACCCCTGCAGCCTGTGATCTCCCCAGCCATGGTTTCTTGGTCAGATTTTCAGTAGCAGACATCTGCTTCTCTAAAGTGAGCCTTAAGTCCAAGCAGAAAGTGGTTGGTTACCCCCATAACATTGATGCCACCACTTCACCAATGGGCATTTCTTGCCATGTAGATTTTTACAGTTCACTGGGTTCACAGTTGGCTAAAAGTGTCGGGTTTTTTGTTTTTTTTTTTATCACTGACAGCATGCAAAGCACATATGAGAGCTAGCCAGCAGGAAAGAAGTTTCCTGTTCAGTACTGATTTGCTTTCTCCATGTCCTGTGACTAATGTGTTTAGTGTCTTCAACAATATGGCATCAGCATCAAGTTCTGGTGGGCAACCAAGAGCAGTGACAATAGCCTGTGTTGTTTTGAGGATCTCCAGGATACCTCTAACAAACACCACAAAGGGAGGTAGCCACGCCTGACAGTGCACTTTTTATTTGGCAGTCAGAGGTCAGGGAAGACTAGGGCAGAATGATGTCTTCTAAACACGACAGGACCACTGCACTCATGAACTCACAACAGCTCCTTGCCTGCACAAGATCAAGTCATTCAACATTCCAGCATGAAGTGGGAAAGGATTCATGCACCCCATCACTAATTGAGACGCTATGATGGTTGATGGCTTCCAGGGAAGGAAGAGTCAGTTTTCTTCGAGGGTGTGACTCCTTGTAGGTTGATCACACTCCAGTGGATGGCCCCACACTCACAAATTGGAGTTGATGAGTTATTAAATTAAAAAAAGAGGATATGAAATTGGGGAATAGGTAGGTGGTGGTGGATCTGGAAGAGTTAAGAGGGGAAATTGGGGGTGATATGATCAAAATACATTTTGTGAAATTCTCAAAGAAAATAAAAAATATTTATTAAAAATTATTCTTAAAAAATAATTCTTGATTTTCATGAAGTTTAATTTAACTCTTCTTTATGAATCCTTTGAATTATATCTAAAATCTCTTTGCCTAATTCTAGAACACAAAGACTTTCTTCTGAAAGTTAAGCTTTGTATATAATGAAAAGTATGGACTATTTTGTGTTGGGAATTAGGAAGAGGTAGATATTCCAACATTGTTGAAGACGAAATTTACCAAATTGCTTTTGCATTTTTGCAAACATAACTGGTCATGTTTATGAGTTTATCTCTGCTGTACTGATCTGTCTATTGTAACATTAATGCTTTATTAATGTAATTTTACAATAGTGTTTGGAGTCAGGAAAAGTGTGATTTCTCAAATTTGCTGTGTTCTTTGGCTATGTTCTTTGAATTTCTATGTGAATTTTGGAATAAACCTCCAAACTACTATAAAAAAATATTGCTGGACTTTAGACTGTGAGTGAATTAAATTTAGGCATTAAATGCTTTCAGTGGGAGGGAATGAAATAGACATATCCGTATTTGGAACATTGTTATATGAACATGAAATATTGTTTTATTTAGGTTTTTAATTTTTAAAATAATTATTGTTTTGATGAATTGATTTTCCTACATTTTATATTTTCCCTAGTTATTTCTTCTACTTTGGTCAAATTGTGAACAGTATCTTAAAATTTTCATTTATTATTGTTCAATAAGTATACAGAAATACAACAGTCTTTATATGTTGATCTTATATACTGCTTGTCAGTTTTTATAGCTTTCATGCAAATTCAAAAGAATTTTCTTCATTCCATCTAGGCATTAAGGAACTCCTAGGGATTAATACAGCCCCAAACCCCACTCCAATAAACCTACACTCTACTTAAGTGAATACAAAGTGAGCTGACGCACCCTATGGGTAGATGAACAAGCACACTGGGAGGATCTGATTTCACTTGGGTAGCTACAAGAATCCTCTGTTTCAA